CTGCTCTCTCCAAGCCGGCGCGTCTCTGCCAAAAAAGCTGGAAGAGGGGGGGAGCTGCCAAGGCAGGCGGTGGGGGAGGACGGGGGACTGCACCCAAGGGCACGGGGACCGCGGGGATTTAGGGTGATGGGTGTTTGTCACGTCGCCGCTGGCAGCTGAGGGGTCTCGCATCCCGGTGGGGTTTCGCATCCCCGATGGCACCTGCCCGAAGGGGGATTGGGGGCAGGTGGGGACCGGCGGGGTGAAAAGATGGGGGTGTTCGGGGGTGCAGGCGGGAATTCGGGGGGTGCCGCTCCAGCCGCGGGGCGCAAGGGAAGGGACCGGCCCCATGCCCCGTGCCATGTCCGGTTCCGTGCCCAGTGCCAGTGCCCTGTGCACGGGGTGCGGATCTCGGTGCCGGTACCGTTGCCTGGTGTCAGGATCCCGGTGTCAATGCCCGGTGCCCGGTGCCCGTGCCAGTGTCCGGATCCCGGTGCCTGGTGCCCGTATCCTGGTGCCGGTGCCTGTGCCCAGTGCTCGGGTCGCGGTGCCGGTGCCCCGATCCCCAGTTCTGGTGCCGGATCCCGGTGCCGATCCCGGTGTCCGCCGGCGGTGGCCGTTAGGTGGCGGGCGCGGGGTGCGCGGCCGCCGGCAGGATGGGAAAACCGGGCATTTTGCAGGAAAACGTGCTGCCGGGCCCCGGGGGTCTCCTCCGGCCAGGGGTGTTCTGGGGACACGCAGTGCCCGGCCCGGCCGGAGCTGGTGATGGACACCCGGCCCCCGCGACCCCCAGAGCCCGCGGATGAGGKGGGGTCTGGCAGCTGAGCTGGGCCGAGCCGCTCCCCGCCCCGGCACATTCAGGGGCTCCGGGTTCCATCAGCTCCGAGCCCAAATCAGGGTCCTGCGTCCCCAATGAACTCCTCATCCCCCTTTTCAGGGGGTGTCCTGGACAGATGTTGGGGCGGCAGTGAGTTAAGTGATGGGATGAACCACAGGATTGTGGAATGGTTTGAGTTGGAAGGGACCTTCAAGATCATCCCATCCCACCTGCTGCCATGAGCAGGGACACCTTCCACTGTCCCAGGCTGCTCCAAGCCCCAGTGTCCAGTCTGGCCTTGGGCACTGCCAGGGATCCAGGGGCAGCCACAGCTTTTCTGGGTACCCTGTGCCAGGGCCTCAGCACCCTTCACAGCCAAGAATTTCTTCCTAATGTCTAATATRTCACTCCCTGTGTCAATATGAACCCATTCCCTGTGTCCTGTCCCTCCATCCCTTGTCCCCAGTCCCTCTCCAGCTCTCCTGGAGCCCCTTTAGGCCTTGACAGGGGCTCTGAGCTCTCMTTGGAGCCTTCTCCTCTCCAGGTGAGCACCTCCAGCTCTCCCAACCTGGCTCCAGAGCAGAGGGGCTCCAGCCCTTGGAGGATCTTTGTGAACTCCTCTGGACTCGCTCCAGCAGCTCCACGTCCTTCGGATGTTGGGGACTCCAGAGCTGGATGGAGCATGGCAGGTGGGCTGGAGTAGATGGGGAGAAACTGTGTGGACATGAATGAGAATCTGCAGGGTGGATGAAAGGCAAGGAATGCAAAATCACCCTAATCACTGCAGGTCCRACACAGCCCCTTCCCCTCCCCGTGCCAAGGGCTTGAGATGCTGCTCATTCCGGTACGCGACTCCTGGTGAGCCCCGGTCCGCTGGGAGCGAGACACGTGCACGGAAATGCCCTGCCCGCACCCCTTCCCGCAGCGCTCCCTGGCACCATTCCCCCATTCCCCACCTCTGCTCCTTCCACCTCTGCGGAAATTGGCAGCCAATTATCAGCAAATCCACCCGGTTCCTCTCCCGCTGCKCGAGGTGCGAAGGCCCGACCTGGCCGCCCACTTAAAGAAGTGTGAGCTCAATCCACGCTCGGCACCAGCCTCCGGAGCCTGCCTGTCTGGCTTATCTCAGCTCCCGCTTTATTTTAGGGAAAGTGCTGATGGCTATGGCCGCAGGAATTCCGGGGGGTGGAAATTACGGAACGTTTTGCTCTCCACACCCAGGACACGCCAAGGAGATGGTGAGGAAGGGCTGTGCATGGAGGTGGATTTTCTATTCACCTGCACTGGGCAAAGAGCTGCGGGCTGGGGACACGGGACACCAGAGAGCATCGGCAGCGACAGCGCAGCCGGGCTGGCCCCGTCCGTCCGTCGGTCGGTCCGTCCCGCTGGCGTTGCCAGGTGATGTAATGCTTGAGCGAAAACACAYGCGGTCGTTAAACACGAGCTCCCCGCTCCAGAGGAGCGACGCGGGAGCAGATGGATGCGGGGACCGGCAGCTTTGCAGCGGTTCCAGCAGCCTGGGGGCTGTGATGTGGCCCGYGGGATGCAGCCCCCCGGGCGGGGCTGGCCGGCTGTTGCATCCTCGATGCGAGTGTCTGCAAAACATGCGGGGAGCGGGGCTGGGAAAGCGGCCTCGCTGGGAATCAGAACTGGGGCAGCTGGCCGGCTCCGAGCAGCTCCCAGCCCTTGCCAGTGAAAGGCTCTGACTTTTGAATGCGTGTTTTGTACCTAGAAAGAATAGATGTGAGGCAAGATCTCCCCGCCCCTGGCACTCGCGCCGGGGAACGGGATCCAAACCCTTTGTGATTTGGCCGGAGCGCCCCGAGAGCCGCCCGCGGGGATGGGCTGAGAGCGTTCCCCGAGTTCGCGAGGTGTCAGGAGAAGCTGCGGGGAAGGCACCGGCTCGGGTACGGTCTGACGGCAGAGGGGCAAGGCAGGAGATGCTCCCCGCAGTGGTGCCCATGCAGAAAAAGGAGCGATGGCTGCGTAGGGCAATATCGGGGTGAGAAAACCCACGGCGGGGGCTGCAGCAAGAGCGCCTGCGACCACAGCTGTACCGGCACGAAGGGTTCCTGGCAGCCGGGGCAGCTCCCGGAACGATGGGTGCTTCCTGCAGCAACAATCTGTACCGGCACGGGGGGTTCCTGGCAGCCGGGGCAGCTCCCGGAACGATGGGTGCTTCCTGCAGCCACAATCTGTACCGGCACGGGGGGTTCCTGGCAGCCGGGGCAGCTCCCGGAACGATGGGTGCTTCCTGCAGCCGGTCCCTGCGGCGGGTCCCGCCTCGGTGGCAGGTGTAGGTCACACATGCTTCCCCCAAACGCTGACATAGCTGCCGGGGGAGATGCCAAAGAGCCTTACGCTGCWGTGACACACGCGGGGAGCTGTCCCGGGGGTAACACCGATGTGCAAAACACAGAAGTAAACACCCCTTTGCCATAGCTACGAGGAGCCCCACACCTGCCCGGCCTCCCGGACCCCAAGCCTGCTCCGAGCGCTGTTGACGGCGTTGTCATAGGAAACGGCATTAACGGGGTGTGCCGGGGCTTTGGGGGCCTGCGCCGGATGCGCTCAAAGGAAAGGTATGTGCGAGGGGCCGGTCACATGCACCGAGTGGCCTCGTCACCGTCCCAGGGAAGCGRAGGCTGGTGGTACTTGGGTTTGGAACAGCCAAACTCACCCGGACCGTGGGGGCTGCGGTTTGCATTCCTCCTGTGTCTCTGCAGTGCAAGTGCTCCATGTTTGGGAGGTGTTTGTGCCGGGAAGGTGGTGAAGGCTTCATCCGAAGCACCAAGGATCAGGGCAGCTGCCCCTTTCACTGCTGAGCATACTCATGTTTTCCTGCCTTGGTTCACYACTGTTACCTGTTGACCAATAGGTTATCACCCCTGCAGATGCTGCAGAAAGAAAGCTCCAAACTAGAGACACTGCCTGAAATGGGCAGTTCTGTCAGTCATCTCAGAGAAATTCCTCCCAGGACACGGGGCAGGAGGATTGTGAGACACAGACAASGCTCTGTGGTACCTGGCAATCAGGGCAAGTCTCTGCTCAGTCCAATTTTCAGCAAGTGGAACCTTTTTGTTCTGCCAAGACCCCCACTCAGARGTGTTTGCACCAGCCCACCATTGTCCCTGTGGCTCTTCTGATGTTGAAATACCGCGGATGTCTGGCTGCTCTGAGCATGGTCTGGGGATGGTGTCTCCATCTCTCCCTGCCCTGTGCATCCCATTGCACCCCCCAGCACCTTCCCTGGGGGGAACATGTGCAGTCCATGCCACATCCCCTCAGGACACCCATGTGGCCCAGGCCTGGGGCATCCAGGGAGCCACCCTGTCCTCAGTGAGAGGCTGGRAGCCACCACAAACAYATCCYRGTGTCACAGGCAGGATCCTCAGAYAGAATCATAAAATCATGGAATGGCCTGGGTTGGAAGGGACCATAAAGATCATCTGGATTTAATCCTCCTGCCCCCACTATGCCATGTTTCTTCAAGCTCTGTCCAGCCTGGCCTTGGACACTTGCAGGATTGGATTTTCCCAGCTGTCCTGGTATGTTTGGTGTTGGGCTGTTTCTCAAGGCAAGAGGAGCTCTGACAACACTGCAGGGGCTGTTTGGGGAGCAGGGGGGCTCAGGCAGCAGCCCCTCCCTGCAAGGTGCCATTGTCTGTTGGGTTTGATGGCTTGTGTGGCCCCATCCTTGCCCATCCTCAACTCACTGTGAGCTTTTCTTTCCCTGGCAGTCTTTTCCAGGTTGTTGTGGGAAGGGGTTTTGCCAGCACTCGGATGCTGCTCGGCGGGAGCACGCCTGGAGCTGCAGCCGAGGGAGATGGGGGAGGCTTTTCCTTGACGTGACCAACAGAAACAGCATCACCCTCCCAGGACCCCAGAGTGACTCGAGAGCTCTTGGGAGTGTTTGTCATCCTCATGAGGAGT